TTAATTATATAATATTAAATAAAAATTATTTAAAATTCATTATATATCTTTTGTCTTCAAATTTTATATAAGAATTAATAATTAAAAATCTAAACTAAAAAATTTAAATTATGCAAATCTAAATATTATAAAAATTTTCTGATTATTTTTGCAACATACTGTAATTTTATGTAAGTTACAGAAAATCAATTTTCATGTTAATGTTCACGCATCATACATAAAGTACCAGATTTACAAAATTTCGGCCAGCATTATTGCATCGATTGATTTGAATGTACAATCCGAAATGTAAGTCTTAAATCACCGAAAATTTGATCTCAGAAACTAAATATCATGTGTTCAAAATTACAATTACATGTAAAATAACTGTAATTTAACAACCCTATGCGCAGCCTCAAAAAATGCGTGCACAGTATGGATGGCAAATGATTTAAAACACAATGTTTTAAATCAATATTATATTGCTTTAAAATGATTTTTTTATGATTTAAATCATCGTCATTGATAACCGGGTAAAATTTATTTCAGATTATGCGATGTAATTTTAATGATATCATGATATTACTTAAATGCATGTACGTAATCTGTGACAGGTTAAGTCACTAATCTCAATCACCGTCTGATTATATTCCCAGAGTAAGACTTGACTGTCATAATCTATTAAAAAAAAATATATTTCTTAAATTCAAAAGTTGCTTTAGATATTTACTAAACAAATAATTCACTAGTATATCATAATTACTTTAAGCAAAGCAAGCAATATGTCGTTTCTTTAACCGTGCTATTGTTCAACACATTCTTCCTTAAAAGATACTTTTTTTACTTAATTCTACCTCTTTCGAATAAAGATAACTCGAGCTGAATTCTTCTTTCTTCCATAAAGACAAATATTCGAGAGATTTTATTTTTGTTATATTACACTGATCTTTGAATTTACCTAACACGTTCGTAATGTTGGCCTAATATTTTGGCAGTTTACATTAATGATGTGATGACGGAAATACTTATTAGAAGTCGATAGGTTATTTAAACTTTTAAATTGCGCACTTTACTCATGTTAGATAAAAAAAAATTAATTTATAAAATCGAAAAAAATAAAAAATAATCAAATACGATCAAATCGTTTTTATATATTCAACTTTAACTTCATAATGATAAGCCTTTTCAAATTACTAAATACAATAGCTTTTCATCATGACTTAAGGTGGTGATTGAAATCGGTGGCTTAACCTGTCACAGATTATGGACGTGCTACTTAAATATCACAGCAATACTGAAATTAAAATTATCCATTCAGGTGCAGTAATTTCGATTTCAGTCATAATCAGCAATGTTTTAAAACATAAAAATCATTAAAAACCGATTTTTTACCATCCCTACTGCGCAGTGTCCCATCTCTAAGTAAGGTGCTACGCCCAGGTGTAGCGATCTTCAAATAAAGCATTAAACTAAACTGGGTAAATGCAAGATTTACCGCAGTAGTAAAGATGGTATAATAATATATATATCTGTATGTTATTTTTGGGGGAGGGTAGGGATTAAACACGATAGAGCCAGATAATGATTATCGGACAGCGAAAGAAACAAGCACTCCTGAACATTCCCCATTTCATTCATCCCTAATTTCATCCCTTAATTCCTAAATTCATATAACTCTTTATTCTGGTTATACATATCTTTGATCAGGACAATCCTCGCGATAATAACACTAACGCTAACTACACCAGCTCACGTGTCAAAAAAATAAAGGCATTTTCAAATCATTTTATTAATCAATGAACGATTTAAGGCAAAAAAAAAGTATAAAACTGGGTAGATTTTTTCAACTATTTTCTTTTCTATTACAGCACGATAATTTAAAGCATTACCAAGAAAAATAAAATAAGGAGTAAAAAACTAAAATAAAATAACAAAAACAATGCATAGATTCTTCGTTTTTATTATATTACTGACTCTTGTCACCTTTGCCACGTCCTTTCCACATTATCTTTTTCGACGAGATCCATTATCAGGGTATACTCAATGTAGCGGCACATTCCCGAACACAGTTACCTCTTTCTCTTTTACCCAAACCCACTAGTTGCCGGACAAAATGGTACATATACAGTCTCTGTAGTGAACACAGTAACAATCCAACAGGGGGCAACATTAAATGTTACAGGATTTGATCAACAACAAGTAGCGTTTAACGAAGTTACAGATTTTTGTAAAGAATGGATTGAAGTAAGTGGTTATAAGTGTCCTCTTGAGCCCGGAAACTATACATACGTTGTTTCCGAGTACATTATGCCTACTCCAAATGACCCGAAGAACACCACAATTGATTTTGATCTGAGAGTTGAAAGTATGTTCTATCTTTTTGAGTCTTACTATTTTTTGTTAAAGCAATCACTAATATTCTTATATTTAATTTAGTTGCTAATCCTGGGGATCCTGAAATTCTCCTCTCTTGTATGGAAGGAAAATATCCTATTTATTTTCCGTAAATAATAACTAGATGAACGGGCTTCGTTAATTTCTGAAATAATAAATTAGTTTTTACGTATCTAATGACTAATGATAATTGCGGCATTTATCACTAGTTTAGCAAGAATAGTCTTATGTCGCTTCATCTTTATCATTATCATTAATAGTACATTTTTAATCATGTAACCTTGTTTTATATTTCAATGTCTGTATATATATTATTGGTATAAAACTATATGAATTATCATCATACCTTGTTGATTTTATTAAGGTATAAGTGCTGTATTCTGATAATAATAAACTCAATCGAATTCGACAACATAGGCCTATACAACTACTTTGTTCGTGGTCCAACATGCAACTAATACATGCATACATATTTACAAGGTTTTGGTAGATTTCACCGACACCTAATTCGCCGACACTTATTTCACTGACAGCCATTTCACCGATAGTCCACTTCTCTGACAACACATTTCGCTGACAGTCCATTTCTTCGACAGCCACTTCACCGACTTTACTTCCCCGACTGTCCATTTTCCCGAGAGTTCATTTCACCGACAATTCTATTTTACAGACTTTCTATTTCTCCAGCCATTACTAACTATAAAGCAGGCCAACCCTAACCCAAAATCGGGCCAGAATTGTCGACGAAATGAACTGTCGGAGAAATAGATTGTCGGGGAAGTGAAGTCTGGGAAGTAGGCTGTCGGGAAAATGGACTGTCGTTGTAGAGAATTGGGCTGTCGGTGAAATGGCGACGCGGAAATAGGTGTCGGAGAAATGAATATACTGTATACCATATTTTTTGGTTTAATTAATGGACCAAATTACTGTACATTAACCTTTTTTTAAACTGAAGTTTTAAGTTAGCTCTTGCAAAATAGAGCCCTTTTTTTAAATAACTTTCAAATCTTCGAAATATTTTTTGAATACAGATATCCGGAATATTTTAAAGAAATTCGGCTCTATTTAGCTGTAGTTACAATAGAGCTTCATTTAAAAAAAAATTTTTTTTTTGCCTATTTAGTTAGGCAGAAAAATGCAATCTAAAAGTTATGTGTAAATCGATGCCGAACTTAGTGATCGACACATATAACCCTATAAATATTTAAAAGCTCTTATCTTCGTTTCACCAAAGTCTTGAAATGATCTACGGTAAGTCCTTAAATGCTGCATTTCGCATAGTGTAAGAAGCTTACATATAACCAATACTGCATTTGGAATAGTGTACATATAACCAATGCTGCATTTGGCATGATCTTGAAATGATCTACTTATAACAACTTTAAAGAATAAGAATGAACAAGTACCTATAACAATAAAATTATACGCTCTTATCATCAAAGTAACTATAATGAACCAGAAAAAATTCTTTTTATTCAACTAAATTTGATAGTTGATTACTCGGCTCAACACATTTTCTTACAATTATTATTTATCGCCCTATGAAAATTTTCTCGACCAGAATCACTAACTATGAACTGCATGATTGTATTGATTTCGATAAAGTTATAGAAATTAATAGTGGTAGTTCTGGAGTGATTTATAAATCAGAATG